TGGAAGCCCAAGATGGTAGAAACACAGGGACAGAGTTCGACGGTGAGAGTCTGCAATGGGAAGGCCCTAAGTCCTCCTAAGTACGTTGGATGGAGTGCTTAATTGAACCCTCCCCACGGCCAGAACACGGGGACGGTTCTGGGTGAAATGATCTCAGGGTACGTTGTAGGCAAGCACATGAATCGCGCTGCTCACTTTTTGTACTCGCGCCAGTTAGGGTCATTGCCGTATTTCTTATCCCCTGACTTCTCCAAAGGAGGAACACCGGAGACCTAACATGCAAAAATCAGCAAGGTTGCAGGCGGGATACACAAATCACGGAACAACAAACGTTACGCAGCAAGAACCAGGTGAACAGTGGGCTCGCAGCCGCGACTGCGACGGTTCCGCGAGGGAACCAGGCAGTTTGGAGAGTGGCAGTGGACAATGCCCATATCCCCGTCCAGATTCCGACCTCGCCGACGTAGCTTAAACAAAATGACCATTAGTATCCGTCTGAATAAGGTCAGAGTACTTGCAACACGTACTTGGGGTGGCGGCTGATGCTCCAAAGCCCGCTCGAGATGAATTTCTCGTCATGTTGTTTCGCGTCCTTCGCGCGTCGCCAGGCTGATTTCTGACGGTCTGCGATAACCTCGAAGAGGAAAGACGCCGCAAAGAACGCTACTGCCGCGTAGTCGCGCGGGCCAAGAGGGGAATGCAAAGGCGCGGGGAGGGAGTTGCACTTCGATGGAATGTCAGTACAGCAATGAACCTCGAAATAGACCACGCCTTACCAAGTATACAGGCAGGCCGACGAGGGTTATCCACGTCGCTAAGTATAGGGTGAGCCGAAGTGATTATCTATGGAGGCACTTTGAACATACCTTGGGCCATCCAGAACAAGGCGAATGTTCCGGGCTGATGTTTTACTTCGTCAAACCTTGAATCGCCACCGGCTTTAATCGCACGCTAAGGTCCGAACGTCAGATATCTTGACATGCAGCATCGAAGTGCTATACGCATACTTGTACGAGGAAGCTACCAAGCCTAATACTCCATATACCTAAAGCAGCGCTCAGCAACAGCTGCCGGGGTGCGAAGCTGGTCAGGGCAGGCAGAGAGATCGGCAGCTTGTGCCAGTATTTGGACTTGAGCGACGGATAGTACAGTGAAATGAACGTCGTTGAGAGAAACCCAGCTGCACCGCCCAAGTCGTAGTATTTCTCATTTTCTTGCGGGACAAATATGCCCGCTAACACTATATGTTGGGAATCGGGAATTAGCATGAGACTCGATGTTGTATGGTAAGTGATCACTAACCTGTTTGGAGACCATATGCACTGACTATAGTAGGGACAAGGCGCGAAAATACAGCCATCTGCGAGGGAGATGGTGGTGGTAGGTGCTCAAGTTGCTTTAAGCTTCCCCGCATTCGGTTCTGGCGTCACTGTCGCGACCCGTTGCTCGCGTGGCAATTGCGGATCAACTTTCCATTTCATCTCAGAGAATTGTGCACCGCAGACACCGCAGAACGTCTTTAACTTTGTATGCGTTTCGTGGGCTGTATTTGCTATGCATAGGATGAGCGCGACGACATCGTGTGAGCTCCGATGCGTGAATACCATGTCATCTTGTGGCCTCGATTTGGACAGGTACAATCAGTATACAAGTACATTTTACAATGAAGACACACAACCTCATTCCACAACACAAACGACCTTGCCGGCGGCACCGTTGGCCTCCATGTAAGCATGTGCTGCGCCCGCCTCCTCGATTTTGAATACTTTATCAAGGTTGGCCTTGATCTCCCCACGAGCAACGGCGTCAACGATCCACTGCAAAGGGGACGACCAGGGAGTCACAGTGTCAGAGCTAAACATAGTCATGATCTGACGAGGAAAATGCAATCAGTATGAGATGAGTATACGCGGAACGAAGTAAATATTTAAATGTTTAAGTACCTTGTGTGGATGAAGCGCCATCCCGGGGTCGAACTCCTTGCACGTCCATTCACCAGAGACGCATCCGACATATGCCAGAGTCCCATTACCCTGGAGACTGCCGAAGGAGTCCATAAGCGTCGGCCCGCCTACGAGCTCGATGCATTTGTCTGCTCCTTTACCGCCGGTCAACGCCTTTACAGCTGCACTCGCCGAGTTTGCAGTGTCCACGACGACGTGATCTACGCCGGCTGCCTCGAGCGATTGGGTCTTGGAGGCCGAACGGGTAGTAGCGATTACGGTGCGGGCATTGAAAAGGGAGGATTTCGCAAGAGCAGCACTAGCAAGACCTACGCTCGTGGGCCCGCCTCGAATCAAGAGCGTGTCGGACGGCTGTAATTTGAGTCCGACCTTGAGGGCACCCCAAGCTTGACGAAAGTAAGCGCCAGCGTCTTCATACATCTTATGAATCGCGCACCTGTGAGGAAGGTTTCAGGTATAGCACCAAATTCTGCCCAGCCCATCCCCTCAGGCAGCTTGATGGGCTGCGAGACCGACGTCCAGGGAACGATCGTGTATTCGGCGTATCCGCCATCGAACTTTCTACCCATATTCCCCATGATCGCGGCCACTGTGTCGCCCTTCTTCCACTGCTCTGTTGCACCGCCTGCATCTTCGACGGTGCCCACACACTCGATACCGAGAATTCTGGGGAAGGTGATTCCAGGCGAATGACCTTGGCGGGTAAACAGCTCTGAGCGGTTGAGGCCAAAAGCGCGAACGCGAATGAGGACATGACCGGGCTTAGGCTGTGGCGTAGGCTGCGATGTCGTATATACCAAGGAAGCCGGGGGAATGGGTGCACTGGGACAAACTACGGCGCGCATTGCCTTCGGAAGTGTCGACAACATGATGTTCGGAATCAAGGAATGAGATGCACCTCTGCACCTTTAAAAGCGCAGGTTTGGCTGACCTAGATTACCTCCAACGTGGAACGTCCATAGAGCTTAGAGCGTGATGACTCAATTTCAATTTCGTGTACTATCAGCGCTGCCGCAACGCTGCCGTCTGCTTGCGAGACATCCAAATCACAGTTTGTAAAGGCCAGAACATCGTCTAGAGTAAGCTGAGGCCGAGTACGATAGCATTGCTTGTGAGCCGTTCTAAAGGCCAGAACCATCGTGACAGAGAGCTGAAGACAAGAGGACAACAAGAGGACAACGAAATTTCAACGAAGACAGTTCGACAAAAACAAGACAAAGGGTATTATTTTTGCTATATTTATGCAATTATTTATATAATTATTTATCGCGACTTCAAACCTCGACGCGCTCCAATTCTCGAAATCCCAAGTCTCCCCTGCTCTCCCTCATGTCATTCTTCGGCTCGGCGACGTCGACAGCACCGACAGGTCCAGCAGCATCACAGGAAAAGGATGTCGAAGTCGCAGACCCGCCCTCCGACTCCATCTCTTCCCTAGCTTTCTCTTCTGCGGCTGAATATCTCGCGGTCGGCAGTTGGGACAACAATGTACGGTTGTACGAAGTGGGCGCGCAGGGCCAGTCGCAGGGCAAGGCGATGTACTCGCATCAGGGGCCCGTTCTGAGCGTATGCTGGAACAAAGTAAGTGGGCATGCTGCAACGCTGCCGTGGCCAACGTTTAATCTCGAGCGCTCAGGAGGGGAACAAAGTATTTTCCGGCGGGGCGGACAACGCGGGGAGGATGTTCGACATTGCGACGGGCCAGTCGCAGCAAGTCGCGCAGCACGACGCGCCCATAAAATCTGTCAAGTGGGTAGACATGCAAGGTGGCTTGCTCGCTACCGGAAGTTGGGACAAAACAGTCAAGGTACGACAATCACAGCGGTGTTCGACCGTGACCTGACGTGCCACTCAGTTCTGGGATTTGCGGACCCCAAATCCTATCGGAACTATAACATTACCCGAGCGCTGTTATACCATGGACGTCCAATTTCCGACCATGGTCGTCGGAACGGCCGAGCGCCACATCCAGGTGTATGACATGTTCAACCCCGGGACACCTTTGAAGGTAAATTTCCCGACGCGCAGAATGAACATATCGTAGCTCACAATGCGCTTTCTGTAGACGATGCAATCTCCGCTGAAATGGCAGACACGCGTCGTCTCGTGTTTCACCGCCTCACCGACCAACGGGTTCGCTGTCGGGAGTATTGAGGGGCGTGTCGCCATTCAGTGAGCCACACATCTTGATTTTGTACCTCTCTAGTTACTGATGAAGTGGAACTAGATATATCGAAGACAAAGACGCTTCGTAAGTAGTCAGGTGTGTTGTAGCTGCGCGTATTGCTGACTGAACTTCTCAGAAATAACTTCTCGTTTAAATGCCATCGGCGAGATGCAAACCCACCTCCTTCCAAAGATCAGTCCTTGGTGTATGCGGTCAACGATATATCCTTCCACCCAGTGCACGGCACTTTCTCCACTTGCGGTACATCCTGCACTCTTCTTTCGCCATGTCCAAATGCTCATCATTCGTGTACAACTTAGGTTCTGACGGTACCATCCACTTCTGGGACAAAGACGCGCGCACGCGCCTGAAGTGTATGCTCGTTTTGTTACAATCCCTACACCATCTCTTATCTGTGTTCTGTAGCGTTCGAAGCGTCTCCGGGTCCGATCAGCTCAACAACGTTCAACCGTAACGGCACCATCTTCGCGTATGCTGTTTCGTACGACTGGTCAAAGGGGCATTCTGGAATGACTCCCGGGCACCCAAACAAGATCATGCTCCACGCATGCAAAGACGATGAGGTCAAAAAGCGAAGGAAGTAGGCGTTCGCCTCGTCTGTTTCACGATTTTCTTAGTGGTCTGATGTCATGTTTTGTGAATCTGTATTATCTCCAAACCATAGCTTTCAAATACACTTCTTTCTATCCTTTCGTAGTGAAGCGATAAACTGAGGGGTAAATGGTGCCTAACAAAAGTATGACGCCGCATATAACGCCAAGTACTTAGTGCTGAGGCCTGAGGCTACAGGCTGGGTTTGGGCTGGGTGCACCGGCCAAAAAGATCAAGGCAAGCAATGCCAAAAGAGTTGGACACTGTGGGGATTGAACCCACGACCATCCGCAATCCGTGTCAGAAGAACTGACAATGCAAAGCGGGCGCGCTACCACTGCGCCAAGTGCCCATGATAACTGAGCTAAGTTTGATCATCACAATCGCCCAGGTCAAAGATCCAAAAATAAATTACCTCTAAGCCACACTCAACTGAAGGTCGGTGCTTAGGCGCTTGCGAACCGATTGCTGGGATTGCTTCAAGCGTTGGGAATGTAGCACATGGAATTAGGCAGGGTATATAGATACAGGTCAACGTCTTGTCTCGTTCAGCTTCCGTGAAAATGCTTCTCGGCATTGATAGTGTGTCACCTCTCCCCTAGAAATCCTACCAGTTAACAATTGGTTCCTAGGAAACCATTAAAGAAAGCATACCGCGGAGCATGGACGGCTATGACGCTATTTCCAAGACGTTTGTGGCATTGCGGACATCTAAGTAAACACTAGTGAGTAGCATCGCACCACGAAGAGAGTATGTTTTTTCTTACATCCGGCTGTCTGTGATCTTGACTCGCTTCGTCTCGATCGACATGAGCTTCCTCGCGAGTTGCTCATTTCGCGCCTTGCTGATCTCGCGGATCACTTGCGCATCGAATATGGGCGCGCGCAGCGCCTCGATGAGGAAAGTCCGAACATCTTCAGCCGTGACCAAAGGCGGTAGTAGATGGAGAGCCTCTATGGCGTCCAGCCGCCGACTGTGTCGACTAATGAGGTCGAGAGCTGGCGTGAGGTAGTCGGAATTATCTGGCGTGGAACGGAGATATATTCGAAGTAGCGTTAGGAATATTCCACTGGTCGGTGTTCCAGGTTGGTATACCCGCTTGCAGTACCTGTGAAATAACATTGAGCATGGAGAATAATTGCTGCATGAAGATTCTCTACTCTTCAGCCTTGAGGAAGTCCTTCAATCGGTAGGCATACATCTCGAGAGCTTGGTCATGTCGACCCAGCCGTCCCAAAAGAATTGCTCGAGCTTCAAATAGGTCTAAGAGAAATGGAAAAGTCAGTGCCAATGATCAAAACCATTCTGGGGCACTTACCGTGCGAAGATACCAAGCCGTACAGCCGGTCAGGTCGGTAATGGTGAGTGGTGTCGATGAATTGAAGTAGATTGGAGTACGCGGCCTTTCGCGACTCTGATGTATGTTCGTATTGAAGATACAAGACGATCCATTGGACAGGTGCTTACTTTCATCTCCGCGTCTCTTTGCGTCCAACGTCAAGCTAAGATAGAGCTCCGCCAGACGTTCATGGAATTCCGCTGACTCCTCCCTACGCTCAGCGATGATGTATTCAAGATACCTTGCGCAAACGTAGGGATCGATGTCCTCCAAGAAGTCGGCCACGGAGGCTCGAGGCAGCTCTACTTCTTCGGACGTGAAGATCTGGCAAGACCGACCGTCCACATGAGCATCACTTATGTGAATCAATTATAGGGTACCTACCTCAAAGGCCATTTCTTTGTCCTCGTCGAAAAGCCACCGCGAGGATTCGAATATTTGCTGCAGATGCTCGGGTCCCAACTTTTGCAGGTAAGTTATTGAGGGCATCAGTTTATCGCGTGTAGTGGTTTCCTTCTCACTCAGTCTAGCAATCGACTGAGGTCAGGAGGATAGACAACCAAGTAACGATGGTTGCTCACTGCCGCAGGAGATCAAGCGCCTTTGCATGCATCTTCTTCCCGTTATAGAGATAGATTAATTCGGCAAATTTCTGCACAGAGGAGTGAGTTAGCGTGCAAGACATATCTGAGTACTGTAACAACGGACCTCGTGCGCACGCAGCTCTTCCTCAACTTCCGAGACCTCACACCAATTAGCAGCACGGCATAGGACACCCAAAAGCCCAGGACGAGTCTGAAGGTATACTTTGAACAACGCGGTATCGACGACCTGCGCAAATCGCAGGAGTTGTTCGGGAGTGAGTGATGATAGCGGGGCATTGGGTAGCGCGAATAAGTCTTCCGTCGATGTTTCCGAGAGGAACGCAATGGAATGCGACTGTGAGGGGGTGATGTGTACAGCGGCAAGAGCCCCTGCCAGCTTAGGACGCCGATCAGTCAGGTAGCGTAGTAGCGTCTCGACAGAGCGGTGGAACTCGTCCGCTATTTAGAATCGCATTAGACTAAAATTTGAGCGTACGATGGAAGACCTACCCTCTGGTCTCCGGGGTCGTTTAGTGCTGCTAACGGAGTCGTCTCTGGGCGAGCCCAGCAGTGCTCCGAGCCCGGTCTTGAACCTACTTCGTCCGGCATGCCCTTGGCTCTCGTCCGGTAGCTCCGTAGTGCTGTCCTCCTCCTTCCGCTCAGTGGAGACATCGCCTGAAGAGGAATTCGAGGGTGTGGATTTATCAGTACCAGGAACAGGGACGGGGACAGGGCCGCCATAGAGTGGTATCCAAGCTTCTCGGGGAACCGACAGCCTTCCGGACACGGTCTCTGGATACAGCGCGACCACCTTCGCTGGATTCAAGTCAAGCTCTATGAAAGTGTTAATCGCATCGTCGAATTTCCCGGAGCTAAACAGCGAGACGGCGTGTAATGCTCGTATGCGAGTCCGGCGTTGCTCCTATGTGGGTGTTAGCTGCCAACAGCAATGGGGTCATATTAGGCTGTGATACATGAAGACATACTTTATCTGGTAAAACGGTTTGATCAACGGTGTCCAGGAGCGCAAGCGCATCACCATATGCTCCCTGCTGAACGAGCTCATCTATCTGCTCACTCCAGGGCCGCATTCGGATTTGCCACACTGTACTCCCCTCTGCATTCGCAGCTGTACGGTCGGTGGGCGTCGTAACAAGAAACAGGGGAGCCTTGGTGGATGACAAGGCTGTCAGGAGTCGAGCAGTGTATTGAGTCGTTGTCGATGGCGCGTCATCAGAGAGGGGAGGGACTGTGGTGAGTTGTGTAGGTAGCAAGGACAATGAGGAATGGATTTGGATGACGGATGAATGGGGTGCCGTGCTCGAAGGTTTTTGTGCAGAGGTCACGGATCCAGGGGGTAGAACGGATAATATGTACGGCTTGATGAAAGCTGCACATCAATGTCATAAAAGCAAGCTATTTCTTGAAACGGAGTTGGAAATACCTATGTCCTCGGGTGGAGCTGGCCAAACGACGGTGTCTGTTCTTGACGATTTACCGTCCACCCCAATCACGACACCCTCGTCTACGCTGGTCAACGTCAGAACCACTCGTCAAGTTGAGTGACTCACTATCTTTCACAATCAGGATTTCGTCGCCGCCGATAGCGACAACGTCAGACTTCGGTTTTGCGCCTAGGCCAAGAGTCATGTATCCCGTGAGTCCTGTAAATGCGCCCATGCCGGCCATGGAAGTGGATGCTACCGCAGCATTCTTTGGGGGTGGCGACACAACTTCTGTGGCTGTCAAACTTCTGATCGAGAACACGTCGTAGTCTGGAGGTGGGTATGCCAGGGCGACAGTGTCTGCATTGTGGAATGCTATTGCGCGTGGCGAGTGCAGCAAGGGTGCTTCCTGAGTCCGGCGGTTACTAGTCACCCTCCGGTCTATAGAAATGATACAGACGTACTTTGACATCCTGTGGTTCCCCATCTTTCCATGAATATATGACCACCTTGCGCCTGCAGCCTATGACAAGTTGGGTAACCACAGCGGGGATTCCCTTGGACGTCGATCCCGTGAAATCACCGTCTGCCCTCTGCTCAACATTTCCATCCGGGAGCAGGTACTGTACGCTTGAGTGTATGGCGAATGAGAGGGCGCCTTTTGACTTTGGGAGAGGCGTTGCCGGAGAGAGGGCGGGCAGTGGATACAAGGTTACTTGCGCGTCTACAACAAAGTCAGCGTCCGACGCGAGGGAGAGGCAATGCAGCTTACCGGAGAGTACAGCAAGGGAATTGATGTCTTTAAGAAAACCAAGGTGCTCGATCGCACGCCGGGAGAATGCTTTCTTGGTCTCTACGAGATGTGCAGTGTCTCCGCCATCGTCTAGAAGCCATGAACGTCTGGTATGCACACCACGTAAAGTAACCGCACCTTCTGATTCTTCCAGTCCATATATATGCAAGTTTCCGGTCGATGTGCCAACATATAGCCTGTCACCTGGACGTGCGCGCGGGTTAGAAGCATGACTTGTATAGAGTCTAGAGATGGCGCACCGTGGACCGTCAGCGAGTCTATCTTCTCCTTGAAACCGTTCACTACAGCGTTTGGAGTCAGGAAAGGCGCCATTATCACGATTCCATATCCCTCTGGGATTCAATACTGTCGGAGGTCGTCGTCGTGCTAGCGGAGAGGACGTCAGTCGGGCAACCGGAGCCTCAGGGGCTTCAACACCGCTTCGGGGTTACAACGTTTACTCTGAGTCCTGACCATGACTTCGATCCAGCCTCTTCGTACTTACTTACGGTTCACTACAGAGCATTCGGGTCGGATAACTTGCGATAGCTCACTCGCGAAAGTGTTTCATCGGCTTTGGAAAACAAAGATGCCTAGACCGATAGCATGAAATTACAACTGCGCTAGGACCAAAAAATTGAAGCCCAAGAATAAACACGGCCAAAACAATACCAATATAATAACAGGGCAAGCTCAAAGACCAGAAACCCGTCATTTCTTAGCCCCGTTGGGCGAATACATGAACGGATGCGCCGCACTACTCGATGGCTTCGACCCGGAGCCAGAGGGCGTCGCGTCACTGGGGCCTGGACGGTAATAGCTCGTGCGCCGATTATCTGGTGAACTCGCTACCTGCTGCGACATCGCAGGCGACGTGGTAGACGCGACAGTGGGCATTGGGAAAGGCATTGCAGGCGTTGTCGATGCGGCGGGCGCTGTGGAAGGTGGACGCGGTGTGGACGGGTACCGTAGTTGCGGGGAAGGTGCTGTAGAGGAGCCTGCCACGGGGGAAGCTACGACGGAAGGTGCCGTATTGGGGGCTGGCATAGTCCGTGGGGGCGCAGGGCTAGCAGACTCGGCGCTACCGTCGGTCTCCCGGCGGCGTTTGCCGGTTGTTCTTGTCGAGCTTGTCTTCAGCCCGACAGTCGTCGCTTTTATGAGTATTTGATGCCTTCAAGGTCGAGAACAAATTAGTATATGCGAAAGCTCACGGTCAAAATGTTTCTTGCCTTGTTCGGCTATTCCCCCATTGGTTGATAACCCAATCCCATTGCTCTGTCTCACCGCCAGGAATTGCTTTACTCTCGTCCGCAAGCCTCTTCAGTCTTTCTACTTCCTCGTCGCTCCAAGCACCCTGATGTCCGCTTGTATTCGCGAACTGCGGTGCAGGCGTTGTACTTGCCGCGTGGGCAGGTGGTGGTGGAGGCGGGTAATATGGACCGCCAGGATATTGGTACTGGTAGTACGGCGCAGTCGGGTACGTGCCAAACTGCGATACCGGCATTACAGCCCCAAGAGGATGAGCGAAGGCCGGCGGATTTGCTGCCTGTGGTGAGGAAGACGAGGGGACAGGGACAGGGGGCGGCGGGAAGTGGTGCTGGATATAGTTGGGCACCATAGCATAGATCGGGGGCGGCGGGTGCGCAATCAATTGGACTGGGTTCGCGAGCAAGTTGTCACAGACATTTTTCGCATCGCGGAGCATGCTGAGGGGATCGACCTTCGCGCCGGGACCCATCTGGTAGCACTGGGCAACGACGAGCGGTGGAGTGCGTTTCACGAGCTCTTCGGCCGCGCTGTAGAATTCGGCGCACAACTGCAGCACCCGCCATTGGAACTCGTAGTACTGCTGGTTCTGCGGGTTGACATCTGGGTTCTGGGGGAAACCTTGCTGGCCAGGTTGCTGCCATTGACTTTCAGCCTTCGCTTGGTGGACGTCGGGTTTTGTCTTGAATGTCGCTGGGACACGGGCCTTGCGGTTCTTGGAACCGCGCGGACGCCCCGGGCGACGCTTTTTGGCATTGGGTTCGCCCGACTCCTCCTGCGTGCCCTTCGCGTTGGCGGGATCAGAGGCTGGGCTGTATAAACCATTCGCATCGACTTCGCAGGTAACGCTGAACAAAGCTGCTCACTCTTCTGCATCCGGAGAGGGACGACTGCTGCCCGCCTGTCCGTTATTCGCGAGCTGCTCCTCCACGAGACCCTCATCTTCGTCTTCGCCCTCCTCCTCTTCCTCCTCTTCGCGCGCAAGTGTCCCGCTAGTGTTATCGTACACGGCGTAGTGTGCACCCTGTGCTGGCTGTGTCATCGGGGGATGCAGTGCATGCGAAAGCGGCTGGTAATGCTGCGGGTTGTCCATACGATGCAACTACCGCCAAATGTGGGCTTTGTTGATCTGACGGCGACGGTGAAAGGGTAAGGCAGGTCGTGGGAGCCGCCAGTGATCATAAACCATGCCATATCGTCGTCGTTGGGCCCGACAGCGAGCACGCCTGCAACGTTTCTCGAGGTCGTGAATGTTTATCGGAGCTCATTGTTCGACTTATTGCGATTCAGATATAATTTTATTGGGGGTATGCGAATATAAAATTGGTTGTAAAAACGTCGGTAGATCTCCACACACTGGCCGGTTTTGTCAACATATCGCAGCCGGCTGCTGTTTTCGGGGCTGCCGAAGCCTCCCAAATGCTATCCTCCTCGAAACTGCGGCAGGACAAACAGTTTGCGGATGGGTTTTCTTCATCTCAGAAAACGTTCGCCGTCTTCACCGCAGTCATTCAAGGACTGCACAGTTTTGCACTTGTCAGAAATGCCACATCCGCATTTCCGTCGGAGTTCGGATCTCTCGTAGTCGCATATCCTCGTTTTTCTTCGCCGATAAGAGGGAAATTGGCACTCGGATTTTGGTACTCTAGGGAGGACCCTCATCGTCTGGCGGGCTAGCGTAATGGTTAACGCGCTAGTTTCCGGGGTGCGGAAATTTGTTTCAACCAACAAGCTAGAGATTCTGGGTTCGAGTCCCAGGCTCGTCGTTTTGCTCTTTTGTCGTCGGTCGACATGTGCAGGGCGTTGTCCGATGTCGACAACGTTCAGTCTGATTTTGGCGCCGGTCTGAGGTTGCCTGGAAGCTGCTGTGGTGGATGAAGCTCTCATCGGACGTGGATTGATATGTAGTTGTGATATGAATGGTCATTTCTTTTGCAAGTGTTTTGTACAGCACCCAGCCCATTATGATATCGTACAATGACAGGCCATCCAACAGGCGTATTACAGTGATTTGTATTCCAAGTGACGAGGTAGTAGATAGTCGCGTCAATAACTCCTTCCCTACTCCGCTATGCATCTAAATTGAGTGTCATAACAATATGCGCCTAAACCGTATCCACAATCCTCTATGAACCGCGGCGGCTTATTGCGTCTTTTTGTTTTTCGCGTCGAGCATCTTCACTTCAAGAAGCGGGTCGAGCGACGCCTCGGGCTGGCGGTACGAGTTCCCCAGGCGGTCGGCAAGGGTGAAGTACTGCCCGTAGTTGACGGTGAAGTACAAGTGGTGCAGGGTGTGGTGCGCAGGACCGTTCACGATCTTCTCGAGGGGGTGGTCGGTGATCATGTCCGAGTCGTGAATCTACGTGCCCGCGTTAGTACGAGCATTGAGCGAATGAGGAGCGGAGACGTACGAATATGGACCAGAAATTAACGAGGATGAACATTACGAGGTAGAGGACGCGGTGCATGGGGAAGACGAAGATGAAGACATGGTAGGGAATAGACTGCGCAAAGCCGTCCATAGGGTGGAACGCGTGCGACGCGAAAGGGGTGGGCACTAAAGAGGTTGGTCAGCATTGAAATGTCGCGTCAACAGGAGGCAAGACGTACCGAGCCATTTGTGATGGGGCTTGTGCAAGGTCTTGTAGACCAGAGGATGATGCAGTCCGCGATGGATGAAGTAGATTCCGATGTCGGTAAAGAACAGGAAGAATGGAATGGTGAAGAGGAGGTATGTCCAACCATGCTCGTCGACGCTCTCGTACAGCTTGGAGTATCCCATCACCTCTGCTTGGAATATTGGCAGAGTCAAGAGCGTCATCCCCGGGAACGCAGCGAGACTACACTGGATCTCCTGCTTCACTTGGTTCTTCAAGAACCGTGGATGGCGCATCATGTCGTGGTTGAAGAGAAATTGGTAGGAGAACCCTGCAAAGAGAAAGTACAGCACGATGATGCCGACCCACGTCAAGGTGAATAGCGACCCCAACTGTCGCGGAACGTAGTCTCGCGGCCACGCGGAGACGAGGGGTGCTGTCGACGCGGCAGACGCGAAGACGTCGGAGGTGGTGAGGTCGACGGGGAGTGCTGGATGGGGAAGGTACGATATTATCTGCGACCACTTCCCCGACAGTCCTGGTGCTGCGGCAATGACATTGGAGACATTGACGCCTGCACTCTGCGACGACGCGAGCGTAGAGGGCGAGGTAAACGCGGAGAGTGGTACGAGGTGCGCCCAGAACTTGTCAAAGAACAGGTCGTCAGCAATTTGTAGGACGAGATCCATGGCGACGCGAAAGAGAGTGCAGGCGACGTCGAGGACGGTGAGGGGAAAGGACAGGGAGGTGACGGGCTTTGCCAAGTGTACTTTTATTAACGAGGAGGACTGACTGATCAGACCACTTTTCCCCAGGCCGGCTCAGGGTTCGGTCAATTTTTCGCAATTTCCACGTGCGCGGCTCTGCTTCGAGATCTTAGCCCCTGTCTTTGCTGGACTCGACCGAGGTTGGACCGAGGCGAGGCTCAGCAACTTAGGCTGAAACGGTCGTACGACTGCATAAAATCGTGGGTCGAGGCTGCATTCCGACGTTTCCGAGTGTCTTCAAAGTGTCATCGTGGTGCCGGGAGGTCCAGGGAGCAAGGATTTTCAAGGGAAACATTCACAGCCGCGGTGGGTGCGGCGGCGGCGGCGTCTGTTCTACTCAAGTCTTTTCCGATGCAGGTGGATTGAAAGTCAATGGACGCCTTCGTGAAGCAAGCTGGCTTCGCCGAGACTACGTGCAGGTCTACTCTATACCTGAGGTGAAGCTTCAAGGTTCGCATGCTATTTACATCTGTGATTGGAACTCCTATCAAGCATTCAATACTTGTATCGTGTTCATATACTTCCAGTGTGAATGGCATCGTGCTCCGAGGCGCCTTCTCGTGTTGAATTTGCATGTTCTACAGGTAACTGCCAGTCGAGGACGGCCTTGAAAAAGAGAAATTTGTATCTCAATCCGGGTTTGGACCGGTCATTTTATCTACCCTACATCATACAACACCAACTTCGTACAGGAACCAGAAACACACACTTTGGGTAATTTGTGACGGGAAAGCGAATTTGAAACTTTGTTTTGACGAGCAATAGACGCGGAATGAAAGGGAAAAACAGAAGAAATGAGGAAGAAATTGGGCTCCATTTGCAGCCGATTGTTGACACCACCACCGACAGCGTCGTTTCCGCATACCACCTACAGCGTGCAAAGCTACATTCATCCCAACATCAATCTCCGCACGCGCAATGAGAAACAAAAACACGCACCTGCCCATACGTGAACGAGCACGCGGCGACGCAGATGAGCGCGCCGGCGCTGATAGCCGCGCCGAGTCGGTTGCGCGGACAGTACGTCGAGGCCCTGTTGATCGTCTTGCACGCGTTGCAGCACCCATCGAAATCGCGTTTCTCGAACAGCGTCCCGTTCACAGCGGTGCCGTTTGCACCCGGCAGGGGAAGCTGCCCGCCCGCCTTGCGGAACGCCAGGAACGAGTCGTAGTGCTCGAGCTTGGCGCTGGCGTTGGTCGCCGGGCCGTACAGGCTGAACAGCTCGTCGTGCACCACGTCTACGTCTCCGCCGTTGTCCGCGCAGCACGAGTCCGCAAATACGAAGCTGGAAAGAGGCGGGTACTTAGTGGCCTGGCATCAAGAAGTAAATCGAAAAGAAAAACTCACTGCGCCGCCTCCTGCTGGCACTGTGAGATCGCGGGGTCGCCCTGCGGGAGGGGCTGCAGGCAATCGAATCCGAGGCTGCTCGCCACAGAATTCGGATCGGCCGACCCGCAGCCATTCTGGCAGCACAGTTCCTCACTGCGCACGCCGGCTATGGTCGCGAACAAAAGCAAGCAGCCAAGCAGGATCTTCACGAGCGTCGAGGGTGACGATTTGGTGCTGGTTGCGGAAATCATGGTGCTGAATGGCGCGTATGAAACGGAAGAGTAGCAGGGGGGAGTAGATGAGAGCGTGGAGGTATCCGCGGGCCCTGCTGAGGACGCTTGGAGTGGTGGATGTATGGGCGGGGAGGTCGAGGGTGCGATCGAGGATGCGAATGAGGGTGATACACAATGCGGTGCTGCTCGAGACGACTCGCTGCTCTGACATGGCACTCTCTCTCGCAAGACGTGAATTTATACGCTGCCGGTGTGTCTAGCGTTGCCGCAGAGTAGTTGTTTTTTCCTCAATTTGAATGGGGATACGCACTATTGAAGCGATGAAGGTGGAAAAGCGTGCAGCAGCGCTGGCCGTCAGTTTCAAATGGAGCGCGTCGGTATCTAGACAAGAGATGTTAGTGGGTTAGACTGTCTTTGACAACTTCCATAGCTCGAGGTGTACCCCCAATCACGCGTCCTTGCCAGAAATAGCAGTGCCGCAGATCGCAGACTCGGAGCGCCAAGGCGTGCATGCGAAGGGCTACCGAGTATAAGGCAACCGTCACGCGCAGTTGTTCTAGCGATGTCGTCGGATCCACCGTGTGATCCACACGAGTTCACGGTCAATTCTCAAGAAGTCGCCTGAAGTGGAGCCGTGGCAGTCACTCACCTGTGGCTACGAGGCGCAAGTCAATTTTGAAAATGGCCTTCCCGCGGCAGTCACCAACCACAGCACCTTCCTATTTTGGACGATTTTGCGTATTTGAAAGCCCGCGGTAGTCCCTAATGACTTGCGTTACTCTCTCTCCATACGCACCTTCCCGACATACTCGTCGGCGCACAAGTCGCTGCAATCCCTAGAGGACTGAGACATAGGTGCATGCATTTCCCGGTCCGTAAGGTATCCGAATCGATACTTTAGAAGGCGTCCTGCCGAGCTGCCGACGAGCCCCACTGACAGGTGGAGGCGTTGCATTGAAACATTGGAAGTGTCTCGGCGTGCAAACAATCGCAGGGAGTGCTGCTAAACCATTAACAGGCGTCCGTGAGACACATACGCCTACGATGAATTTCTCCAACAGTGGCGAATCTCCTAAAGGCCACAAAAAGGCCACCGGTGCTGCATATGCTATCAGAATTTGTGGTTATGGGAAGAGGACACGTTCGTTCCGCGGGTCGGATGTCTCTCACCTGACTAGGGGTTCTAGAACGATTAACAGGCGGTTGTGCGACGCCGGGCAGCAAGGTCATATAGCCCTCGCTAGTGGCGGCGACACGTTAGGAAAGACCCTTTTTCTTGCACTGTTCGTTCTGGGATATTCTTCGGTTCAGGAAAAGACGACGAGAAGGTCGCAATAGAGTGCTGTGTACACGATAGCCTTTCGTGCACTCTGTCCTATATGCGGGTCAGCGTTATATCTGAAGTGAAGCTTCAAGATCTGCATACTATTTGTGCCTGTGATTGAGTTCCTACACATTTACCGCGCATTCAATAGACTAGACGTATCAAGTAGACCGTTGCGTCGCGGAGTCGACTGGCAACGTGTTACTGCGCTCGAAAGTCGAACTGACGACGTTGGTGTAGTCACAGGTGAGCTGTGACGCCAACGGTCGACTCTGCGTCGGGATCGTTCGGGCACGCGGCGTGGATGGCGTCCGCGTTGAGTATGTTGGCAAGAACAGCGTATGCCGCAGGACCCGAGTTGTAGTCCACAGGACTGCACGAGGTCCTTAGTGGGCGGTCGGTGCCGTCGGTGCGAGGCTGAGGGAAGTTCATCCTATGCGGGGGCGTTAGTCACCAGTTTTTGGGTCATTGGTCGTACCTCCTCAGGCGGAGAGGACAGCGTCTTACCGTCTCCGA